TTTTAGTTTGCAACATGCTATCCTTTAAACCAGAAACCACCTCGACAGACTGGCTCTCTCTCTGCCCTGGGACAGGAAGCCCTAACGGCTTTCATCTTGTTCCTTCCTCTCAGTAATGCTGCCTGTCAGTTTGCTGCGTGCATGAATTTTGAATGGCTCAGTGTGCTTTCCTGCGCAGCACCAAAATATTAATTATAATGCAGTAAAAGTTAATTGAAATGCAATGCAATCCTTGGCAAGTCAGGTCACCAAAAATGTCTTAAAACAGAGCCCACAAGAAATAAGAGAGACTCTCTCAACAGAAAAGCTTGGCAAATTTCCTCTGCCAAGCCTCTGAGGTGCTTCCTTTTGCTATTAGTGCTCACTTGTCATTTGGATTCTCTCTGGAAACAAACACCTACCTTTCATGGAAAAGAAAAGTATCTTCCCTCATGCTCGTATCTGCCTACCCATTAGTGGTATTCTCTCTGCCCTGACACTTGGGGTAGGAGTTTAAACAGTCTGTAGGGTAAGTTAAATTACCTGGGAATTGTTGTTTTCCAAGACATCTTACCTCTTCAACATGTGGCACCACCCATGGTTAGAGACGACACATAGCACCCCCAGCTGATTCAGCCTTGACCATTCCTGTATTTTTTGTTATGGGTCTTTCCCCAAGGCTATTTTCTCTAAGGTACTTTTGCTAGGACCACAGTCTCCATAGTGAAATACAGATGAAAGTCCATTTTTCATGTACACCTGAAGAAAATTCTGTGAAATGCATGGAGAAAGCAATGACCTCTAGAGCATTGTTTTCTTCTTCAGGCTCTCATCTGGTCTGCTCAGGATTGATTTTATTTATTTATTTTCTCAAACCAGGCTTGGGGTTACCTTGTACTTCTCCAAGAAAATCTGCACATAATTCTTTGGGTGTGATGGGAAAGCTGGAAAAAGGTCAGATACCTCCAAATCTAAAACCCCCTCTAAAGCCACAGTACCTCTTTGTACCACTGAAGGGTACTTGACTGCATCATTCCCAAATGTTGAAGCTGCGGTAAATGTGCATTCGAGAGTCTAATATGGCCAAGAGTTGAATCACTGGCTGGAATCAGGCTCTGGGTCCCAATCGTGACCAGGTCAAGGTGATGTGGGGCCCCAGGGCCTTATGCTAGTTGGGGGGGAGTGGCACAGGGCCTGATCCAGCCTGTGGACCAACTCCATGCCATTCTTCTTGGCTGTGGGGCCAAAACCCTGAGCACCACTGCTGTATAGCAACATTAACACACAATATTCGGTTGACAATTAGCACCTAGCAAAATTGGTTCAAAACTGGTAGAAGGATAAAAGCACCAGTTTCACAGCAAGTTCAGCATAGCCTTACTCCAATTTTTTTTCCCTATTTTTGGTAATAGTGACTTTATCTATGTGTTCTGTGGGTACTGGTCATTTTCATCTCTGCTTCTTGTGATCTTTTGAAGAAAGGGAAAATGATTTGAGGTTAATATTATTGTACCAAAGCCTTCTCTGGTTAACGTGTGGCTCACTTTTGAAATTTGCTTGTGTAAGTCTGTCACACTGTTTTAAACATAAATGAGTTTGTGAAGTACCGTATTTACTTGAATCCAAAATGACTTTAAATTTGGGACAACTTCTCAATATTTAGATTCTACACTTGGGAAATTATAAATTTGTTATAATTTCATTTTATAGAGTCTACTTATTGGAGGGTTGTCTTTTAAATTCACACTGCCCAACCACTGCTGTGGAAGGGAAAGCAGCAGCAAGAGAGTAGGGGCCAGAACCCTGACCTTCCTGCCACTTGCCTCCTCAAGTGTCTGCCCTTCCACCATGTTCCCCTTGCCCCTCCTTGCCCTCCACTGGTGCCTGGCCCCTCATTGCCTGTGCCTGACCTCCTGCTGCCTGCCCCTCCACCCGTTGATCCCCTTGCCTGTGCCTGCCCCCACTGCCATATACTCTCCCCACTGCCTGACTTGTTTTTTTCCAGAGCATTGACAACATTAT